TTAGATGAAAATAACTTAAAAAAATATAAATCAAGTGGAAGAAAATTTTCTTTTTTAGAGAGAGTTTGGTAGAGGAGAATTTTTTTTTTTAATCTTGAAATCACAATTTTCAAGAATATAATGGAAAATTAAGTTTTTTGAGAATATTATCAAAAAATTATTTGATAGGCTAAAATATTTTTGAAAATGTTGAGTTGATTTTCTTGATACTATATTTGGTTATATTTAATTTTTTTTTGTCATGAAAATCCTAGAATATCACCTCATGGATGGTATTCTTGAATCGTATTTTCAAAAAAGTTTACACAAAAAATAAAATTCCGGAAAAATTAATTTTCTGAAAAAAATTTAAATACTTTATACCAAACGTAGATAATAAAGATTACCATCTTTCAATTTCCCGAAAATCCTAAAACAAACCGCATAACAAACGCTACTTACAAAAAAAAATAAAATCAAAGTGAATACATCCTCTGCACAAGAGAAATTTCCTCCAAATGGCTTGTATTTTGCTCTTTTACCAACTAGATAAAAATGCATATATTCTATTTTTACATATCACTAATGACTTATATTCTGCTTTTTAGTTATCAGCTTGGACTAGAAGTAATTCCAGAAGTTTCTTCAAATGATTTGGTTGCACCATCACTCGTGCAACTCCAAAAACAATTAGATGTAGGAGAGCACCCCTTGCACCCGCACTATAAAAGATTCCTGAAGAATTAGAAAAAAAGAAAAGAAATTATATACTATTTTTGCTTACCATACTTTATAAATTGTAAGAAAATCTCTCTTGCTCCCTCCAATGGCAATGGTATTGAGTATTTAAATTTGAATATTCTTTTTATGTGAAAGCACATGTCGTTCATGAGTAAGCATAAATATGTGTGCCAATTAATTGCTGACTAATATATTTTCTAACATGGGGACTAGGGACAAGCCTAAGCCAAGTCTTGGTTAGCTAGCTTGCAATGTGCCTGTTTGGTATCAAACAAATTTAAAAAAATAAAACTCTAATAGTTAATGTATTTCACTTGTTTCGTTCAATTTTTTTTCATATTAACTTCTATTACACGATAAAATATAACCACATTTTTTTAAATCTCATTTCTTTGGGTAATTTTTTTTTTGGTTTAATTTAAATTGCAAGTCTTTTTTTTGATAATTTTCCAATTGGTACCTATAATAAATATTATATATAATTAAATGAGACCTTATCATTTTAAAATAAACCAATGCAAAAACCCATTTGTAACTTTTAAATTATAGGCACATATTATTATTATTAAAAAAAAAACATAAAATTGTATGCTGACTAAACATGTAATTTTTGTGTGTATATTACTATGCGTGTGTCATAGAGATTAAAGTTGTTTGTTAATGTTCATGCACATATGTTGTTGAATCTATGATGCAACCTATCTAATTAAAATTTTATTTATCTTTTCTCGTTAATTGTTTAAAGAAAGAAAGGATAAGAGGGTAATGAAAATCCATGGCAACAGGGCATAACTCATAAGTTTATTCAATTTCTCATGGAAATTATTGGTTGCAAAAAAATGTCCATCAGTGATTTGATAAAGACAGTCATCATCAGTCATGTATGATTGCGACACCGTGCCTATCTATCGCTACCAATTAAGAGTAATGGTGGAGTTACGAAACAAATGGAATTCGAAAGACCTGAAACAAATGCAATTCGAAAGACTAAACCAAATGAAAATTGAAAAATCTATATTATGACAATGGCTAACTACGTCATCAGTGCCTGTTTCAACCAGCATATTTGGAAGAAAAAAGTTTTTCTTTGTTTTCTAGAACTTTTTTTAAATGATTCTTTTAAAATAAATTATTCAAAAAATAACAAATATGGCACTTATAATTTCTCATTTTGTATACATATACATGCGAAAAAAATAGAGTTTAGGTTTGAAAAAATAAGGTATGTTAAATTGTGATTATATGATAAAAATTGTGTCGATGTTAAGTAAGGGAAGGATCCATTTACAATTTTTTTTTTCAAATTACACTATTGGTTGAAGTATGACCAGTCATACTTAGTGTAGTTTGTAAATAAATTTTTTGTAAATATAACCTTCCCCTGTTTAGTAATATACATATAATTTTATGGGTTTGATGTTTGTCATTTTAAATGACATAAGTTATGTCATTTTAGGAGAGAGATAGACACAAAAAAATGGAAATCATGGGAGAGAGAAAGTGGATGATTTTTTAATTTAAAATTTAAATAAAATTTGTTTTTCTGTGTCTGTCTCTCTCTTAAAAGGACAGAGTGTTATGTCATTTAAAATGACAAACATTTTTCCTTAATTTTATATGTCTAACATTATTGTTATTTTATTTGTCATGTATGCGTTATTTCATATTTAATATTTACTCTTTTTTCATAATGTTGATTATTATTATTATATTAATAAACATATGAAAAAATTAATTTTACTATTTGTTGAATTTTTTTTTTTTTTGCCACACTTACATAAAAATAAGTAAGTCTCACGTTTTTTTTTCTCCCTAAACATTTTCTCCTTTTTTACAATAGAAGCTCTAAATTTTGTGTGGAAAGAAACAAGTGTGGACCCATCGCTTTTTTTTTATTTTTTTTTAAAAAGCATGGCACAATTTTGTGTGTGTGGATATAACCCGAAAATATTTCTATTAACCTTTTCCACTGGTCTTGTCATTAGAATACAACTCTAAGAAAGAGTTTGCTTGAGGGTTTCTTAGAAGTTAGTCATGCATCTTAATGTGTCATTTTTGGACTTCTTTATTTGGTTTAAGCTTTTAAAAAAATTAGTTATGCATCCATTTTGCCTAGCCATTTACATTTGTGTGAAAAATTGGAGAAAAAATACTATTAAAAATACCTCTTCTAGGTGGTATTTTCAAGTTGCCTTTGCTAATGGGAGAAAGAGGACACATGTGGATGCCAAAAATATCCTCTTTCTTCTATTAGACAATAGTGTCTGCTACGAGGGTTATTTTGTAATTTGAAGTTATTTTTTCATCTATATTTTACCTTAAACCAAACATAAACTTTATAAATCTTACCTAATTTGTCTGGTAATTTTTTTTCTAACCAAACAACTTTTTATATATTTTCTTACCAAACTCACTTTCCAACCATTTTCTTATCAATTACATTTTTTTAATATTCAAAAAATTTCTCCTTAACTAAACGCCGATAAATATCATCCTTCGTTAAAATAACGATGTACTAAACTTCGTCACGAGATAAATGACAAGCATCACACAATTTTTGCTGAGTGATCAAAGGGAGGAATCACTGTTTCTTGTAACAGGAGAAGTGATTTTCGCTCAGTAATATTATTAAATTCAACAAAGCTATTTTTTCTAGTTAGATCATTGTATATAGTATATGGGTAATGAAGTTCTCATATTGCATAAGAGGAGGATAAATTCCTATTTACCCATCGATCCACGTGCTTCTACTTTTTTGGTTTGTTTTTTCTTTCTCTCATAATGGATCTCACTTTGATTGAGTGTGCATGAGAAAAGTTTTTAATTCCTATTACATGAGAAATATAAAGTACATAGTATATACTACTCTTGAATGAAGAGTTGTATACCTTTTAAAATTTAATAAGAATTGAACCAAAATAATTTTATTTTGGGTAAAGAGCCACTTTCGCTAAAAACATTTTAAGAAAAGACAGTTAGAAGTAATGAAGCATGCAATAATTACAAATTGAGTTAAAAAGAAAAGGATAAACTATTCTTTAATAAGTACTTTCTACAAATTTAGTACATGAAATTTAAAACCTTATGCTAAATCCCTTCTATATATGAATAAAAATAAATAAATAAAGTGAAACCAATAACAACAAAGTCAGAGAGAATAAACGCATGCATCTCATCTATGACTTTTGTCTATTCTACTAACCTGCTCTGCTCTACTATGCCTCTTTTGAAACATTGTTCAAGCACAACTTTACCTATACTCATAATATATGAGGAAAATCATTAGGGAACCCCTTTCCTTCTATGTATATATTTCTATACATTCGACCAGTAAAAGCATCAGAACAAGTTAGGAAGGGTTAAGGAATACGATGGTTACTTGCAAAAAGAGGAAGATTTAGTTGATTCTATACTATTTTTGTGTCAAACGATGATTCATAATGCATGATCGGATTCATAACTAACTTGTGTCCTAAAACCATGTGGTGAGGTACAAAGTCTTCATAAATTCTACGCCAACATGAGTTTAATGGTCTTAGACTTGGATTGGGAACTCCCGGCAAATGGACAAAGACATGTTTTTCATGTTTGCTTTCTCTGTAATTACATTTGGGGGAACATTCCTTTTATTTGCTGCTACATCAATATTCTTTTCATAATCTATTTTCTTTATTTTGGAGTGAAATGAAGCATTGAAAGATCGAACAAGTGTGGTGTAAAGCAAAACCAATTTAGCAAAATAGCTACTATTTTTTCATGTCACGGACTCTGTCATATATAGGTATGGCTATGGCAAATGAAAGAGGCTGTGTAGTTATTCCATACTAACACAAATTTCACTTCCACCATGGTGTTTATTTTTTGTTCATAGTAAAAGGAAACCAGTTAAAACTTCAAAAGAGTTAGAAGAAGTACAATTGCAGTGAAAAAGGACAATGTCCAAAAACTAAGGACTAGGTTTAAGGATCCAGAAAACAAATCATTACCAATATCCGAAAAAAGAGTGCCATAATTCTGATGATAGATATATGTAATATAACAAGTAACAAAGATGCAAGAAAAGTTAAAAAAGAAGAAAAAAGAGAGAGACTAAATTCGCCGGTAAGTACCTAGGAGATTCCACCGGCGGCATTTTAAAAGTCAAACGTTTGTGTGATTTGGCATATGAAGATGTCCCACACTCACAAACAACAAAAACACAAACACAACACAACACAAACCCTTCATTTTCCACATAACATAATAGACAATTTACCCACAAAAAAACCAAAAACGCCAACTTTGGCGCAGTCTCTCTCACTTCCACATATTCATTCAGACCAAAACTATCTACATTCCACAGCCATCACCACCATCGTCATCATCATCAATCACCCTTCTTTTCCCTTTTCCTTTTCCTTTCTCAAAAAAAAAAAAAATCCTCTTCCTCCACACCCCAAAACCAAAGTTAGCAACTTTCTCAATTCCCAGATTCTAAAGAATCCAACTTTATCTTTTTTTTTCTCTCTCTCTCTCTCTCTCTTTATATCCAATCATGGAGCCGGTGGAGAGCTTACCCTTGGAGACGGCGGAGAAGATAATTCTCCGGTGGGACTCCACCGCGTCGGAGGAAGCACGTGAGAAGATGATCTTCGAGGGTGACAGGGAAGAGGTGGATCTGTACCTTCGTGCCGTTGATGAAATCCAACGTTCCATGTCCACCGCCACCATCTCCGACGAACAGAGCAAGGTCAACTCTTCCATTCAGATCGCCATGGCACGCTTGGAAGATGAGTTTCGCAACATCCTCATCTCTAACACCAACCCCATCGACACAAGTTCCTCTCTTCACCACCCCAACACTGAAGAAGACGATGAACAACAAGAACCACCACGAGAACACCAACAACAACACCATGCTTCTTCTTCTTCTTCTTCTTCAACTTCAGCTAAACGCCATGATGATCATGATGCTGATGCTGATGCTGATGCTGATGTTGATGTTGTTATTGATGATAAGCTTCTTCGTTTTGATAGTAGCGGTGCTGCTTCTGTTTCCAGCATCACCACCAGTGGCAGTAGCTACCGTTCTGCAAGTAGCATCCGTGAGATCGATCTGCTACCTGGTGATGCTGTTGAAGACCTTCGTTGCATCGCAGAGAGGATGATCTCTTGCGGTTACTTGAGAGAGTGCATCCAGGTTTATGGAAGTGTGAGGAAATCTGCTGTTGATGCAAGTTTTCGAAGGCTTGGGGTTGAGAAGTTGAGCATCGGTGATGTTCAGAGGTTGGAGTGGGAGCAACTTGAGGCCAAGATCAGAAGATGGATAAGAGCTGCTAAGGTTTGTGTTAGGACCTTGTTTGCAAGTGAGAAGAAGCTCTGTGAGCAAATCTTTGATGGGGTTGGAACTGCTATTGATGATGCTTGCTTCATGGAAACTGTTAAGGGACCTGCTATTCAGCTTTTCAACTTTGCTGAGGCTATTAGCATAAGCAGGAGGTCACCTGAGAAGCTTTTCAAGATTCTTGACCTTCATGATGCTTTGATGGATTTGATTCCTGATATTGATCTTGTGTTTGATTCTAAGTCCTCTGAGTCAATTAGGGTTCAGGCTGCTGAGATTTTGTCTCGGTTGGCTGAGGCTGCAAGAGGGATTCTGTCTGAGTTTGAGAATGCTGTGCTTAGGGAACCTTCTAAGGTTCCTGTCCCTGGTGGGACAATTCACCCTTTGACTAGGTATGTGATGAATTATATAAGTTTGATATCTGATTACAAGCAGACTCTGAATGAGCTTATAGTGTCTAAACCATCAACGGGGTCTAGATATTCTGGTGATCCTTCTACCCCTGATATGGATTTTGCTGAGCTGGAGGGGAAAACCCCTTTGGCTATTCACTTGATTTGGATTATTGTGATATTGCAATTTAACTTGGATGGTAAGTCCAAGCATTATAAGGATGCGTCCTTGTCTCACCTCTTCATAATGAACAATGTCCACTACATTGTTCAGAAGGTGAGAGGGTCTTCTGAATTGAGGGAGATGATTGGAGATGATTATTTGAAGAAGCTGACAGGGAAATTCAGGCAGGCTGCTACTAGCTACCAGAGAGCAACTTGGGTGAGGGTGTTGTATTGTTTGAGGGATGAGGGTTTACATGTGAGTGGTGGTTTTTCTTCTGGGGTCTCGAAGAGTGCTTTGAGGGAAAGATTTAAGGCCTTCAATGCTATGTTTGAGGAGGTTCATAGGACTCAAGCTGTTTGGTTGATACCGGATTCGCAACTCAGGGAGGAGCTTAGAATTTCTATATCAGAGAAGCTGATCCCAGCATATAGGTCATTTCTTGGGCGGTTCAGGAGCCACATAGAGAGTGGAAGACATCCAGAGAACTATATTAAGTATTCTGTTGAGGACCTGGAGGATGCTGTTTTGGATTTTTTCGAAGGAATTCCTGTTTCCCAGCACTTGAGGAGGAGATCTGAATGATGGATTGAAGTGAGTTTTGCAACTTAGATGCTAGGACACATTCTTTTAATTTTTTCCCCCTGGAGTGTTCAGGTAATTGAGTGCTGGCCAATCTGAGATTTCTCAAGCTCTCTAGTGCTCCATGGTTTATCATCCATGATTTTGAGTGATGAAGGATTCAAATCTTGTGAAGATTGGTATAGCTTATGAAAAGCCAAGTAACTCAGCCTGAATTCTGCTGCCTGTAAGCACGTTATTTGATTTCATACCACATTCTAGATTTTGTTTCATTTGTTTATATCGGAATTTGTTGTACGTGTGTTTTTGTTTATTACTCTTAAGGTCAAAAAGCTGTTCCTTTTGTAGCTTCAAATGACTTCTATACAATGTGATAGTTTTGGCACTAATTGATGCATGTTGAAATTTAAATCACACATAGCATTTTCCTCTCGGCATCTGTATCTCATGTTTTTCTTATATTTAAGAGATTCATTCGGAAAACAGAACCTTAGATGAATGCATACACCACAAAATGAGAATTGCTGATAAGTTGTGTCTCCGGTGAAAAGACCTTGCTTCAATAAAGAGTCCTATTACATTTGGCTACCAAGTATGTAACTCTGTACTTGAATTGTAACCTTGTAAGCATGTTGTTATCCTTTTTAGCATATTGTCCTGAATTTGTTACTTAAGTTGTTGCTAAGTATTCCGTTTTTAATTTGTCCCTTATTTACTTACTAGAAAGCTTGAACTTTGGTTAGTTCTTCAGATAGAAAGGTGTATGGGGTACAAGGATTCTAGTCAGAATGGAGCAACAATATACATCACCTAACTTTTTGTATTTTAGTACTTCACTGGCGTCAATGACCTTGGGGAGGGTAGGTTTGTCCCTCCACAGGAGTGACAGCCACATAAAAGAGGTGGACGACAGATATTTACACACCACTTTAATTACTCCACCTTTTAATAAGAAAGTGAATTTGTTCATAAAGAATATCTATTTTTGAATTATAAGATAAAGAAGTAAAGTGTAACATGAAGTGTAAGGGAAATGGGGTGTAACAATCATTTCATTAAAGGGGTTTGGACTTTGGAGTGAGAGACAACCCAGAATTTCATGCAGTTCCATGCTTGGAGAGACTTTGGTGACAACATTTTGTTGCCATCTAGTTTGAGCTGTGAGTTACTCGCTTTGCTGCTGTCTAGATATTCTGCTTATGTAATGTTCAATACAACATCATGAACGGGAAATAATTGCACTCTGCCAACAAAGCTGAATCAAATTACTATTTTTTGATTCCACATTTGCAAAGAAAAGCTCTATGTAATTGAAAACGAAAGCTGAATTGCTTATAAATTATTATACACTAGGGTAGTAGGGTGTATGTACAGTTGTTTATCATTTATTTATTTTTTTCTCTATTGATGATAATGGTATATGGGGTATTGTCAAAAACGCAAATTGAGAATTATTTGATTAATGAGTTTTTTGTGTGTCATTTTTTACATATAAATAAAAGATAAATGAATTAAGAAAGGAGAATTCAAAGTGAACTTTTGTGAGTTATAATTGCCTTTGTAAAAAATAAAGGAATTATGAAATATGAAATTAAGGTGAATACTGATGGGCATTTGTAAATCATTAGGTGTCTTCTCAAACAATATTTATAATCTCCCACAGGGATTGCATACAAAATTTCTCACGAACTTGAAATAAACCATTTCTCGTTATATTTATGGGTTTTATAAGAGTTATCTTGTAGGAAAAATAATTGTGTAATGTTATAGAGATTCGTTTTGCGTGCCTTAATTTTTTTTTTTTTTTTTTACTTAAAAAAGTGCGAGCCCGACAAAATATTGTGTGTGTAGGAAATTTTTTTGTGTCATGTCAAAAGACAAACGAAAACCCCTATATTTATTACTGAAATTTTTTGTAACGTTTACTATTAAATTAATCACCGTTGATTTTCATCAATCTAAAAGTTATAAATTATTGAGAATTAATCATTAATTAATAAGTGTACTCAATAAATTATCACCATTAGATTCACAGAAATCAACAGTGACTAAATTACTAGTAAGAATTATAAATTTTTTCAATAGTAAGGATAATCGCTCTCTTTTTCTAAACTTAAAAATAATAATATCAGCATTGAAAAATAGGGAGTAACCAACGAGTAACAATTTTTTTTTATTAACTTGTTAACGAAGTAATGAATTTATCCTAAGTCCCGCCACTTTCGCTATTTTTTTCCACAAATGTCACTTTGCAATTTTTTCTCTTCCAATTTGTACTTTATGGTCAAAAAGCCCCTCCCACGAGCTTCTGGAAAAAAAAAAAAAAAAGCCAATCTTTTATTCATTAAAAAACTATTTTTTAATTGCTACAAGGGAACCTTAAAAAAAATAAAGTAAAGTCGTTTTTGGGTCTCTAATAAATAACACGGTCTTTACTTTCATTTCTTACAAAAAATAAGTCAATTTTTGTTTTTCTACAATTTCAGTTCTTTGAAAATACGATCTCTCATAAATTCAATGAAGATCCAATTTAATCCCCAAAAAAAACTAATATGAATATTTTTTTTCTAAGAGTATTTTTTATTAGGACTCGAAAAAAACTTTACTAAAAAAAAGTAATTTTTATGTAAAAAATAGGTTAAACCTAACATGCCCTTAGCGTCACTAGTGTTCCAGGCTCCTCTTCCTCATTAAAGGTCAATAATTAAATAAAAAAAATCCTAAAATTAAATTTGCTATGAATTTAGAAATAAAGTTTGGTCTAGATCAAACATTGTCCGTGAAAAAGAAAAAAATAGATTCAGTTATAGTTTTTCATTAATAAATCACTTGAAATAAAGTCTTAGTGAAGCTAGTGACATACTCTGGACAATCTCAATCCATGGATTAAGAACATCATTCACTAATACTCAATAGTTAAATACTAACATGTGCTATACAGTTGGAAAATTGAAAATGAAAAAGTTCCCCACATGTTCGCTTGTATCCACATGGATAATAATATCTCATAATTGAAGAGAATTTCCTTTGTATTAGTAAAAAGTTTAACTGTATCATACCATTATACACTGGCATCACAGGAACAAGAATTAACTATTTTATCATGTACTCCAAATCTCGTAAGGAAGTGCTGCGTGAAAATGCAACGAATGACAACAAAGAAGACTAATGAACTAAATAAAAGAATAAAAAGAAGAGTCACAGAGCTAATTATCAGGACGGATGCAATAAAAGTACAGAAACAGAGCAATATTGTAGCTTATTCTATCTTGTCTTCTTCCAAATCACCATTTGAATTTACGTTGCTGGCTTGCACTGGTCTAGCATCTGGCATACTTCGAACATCCTTTGAAGAAATAGACGATGGTTTTATAAGGGTCAAAGTAGTATCATCCCTGTCAAACTCATCACTCCCATCATCACGGTAAGCATATCTGTCCAGACGAGAAATAAAGAACAGCAACAACACTTAGAGACAAATTTTGTATGGACAGAATACATAGAAGAAAAAGCTCATCTTGCTCTTGCAGACATTAAAGATAGAAAACAGAAGGATTTTAAGATAGAGGAAGAATTTTTACCGTGTTGAATTTTGAGATGGTGCCCAAAGAGCACAGATAACACACAAGAGAGAGAAAGACAGAATTTGCCAAAAGGCTGGGATGATCCATGCACTCTGCCATTGCTCGTTGTATATATCATTTGATTTGAAATAAAGCTGAAAAAGCAAGTGGGAAGACAAGCACTTGAAATATTGAGAACTGATTGATGAATTAAGTTCAAAAACAACCAGAAAACATCTACTTTGCAGCACATTTCCTGGTGCAAAACTTACAGCTAATTTTAATCCACTGGTTGCATAGACCAATGACCTCGACTCAGCTATCATAATTAGGCCTAGTTAACATATAAAGCAATTGAAATGCGTTTGTGCCTATGGATTACCTCATAACATATCCAGCCAACAGATACGATCACAGCTACTGCCAAAGCATTAGTGAACTTCCTATAAATATCCAATTTTATCATCATCCTTCTGGCCTGTCACGTTGCGCAAGCAGAGAAGAGTCATTTTTTAGATAGTTATATTAAAAGTTTGTGACAAAGTGAATTCTCATTCATCACAGTATGTGGTGCAGCATCACATCAAAAGTGTAAGATAATCAGCCTGATTCGTACAAAAAAGCTATAAAGTAATATAAGATTTATGGAGTAAGATAATCAGGCTCTAATACCTCAAGCCTGGAAAGAATATCCCATTTTTTTTTACTATTAAAAGAAATTGATACTCTAAATTGGCCACTAGTAGTTATTTTCCTGCAGAAATATAGTAAGATTCTCGCAAATATCAAACATGAAAAATACAAACTATTGGCTTACCACAAGAGTGCAGTGTACCGTCCTCTCCCATGTTCCTTCATAAAATTAAGTACATAATATAGCCTATATGCCTTAACATCCTGATCAATTAATTACAAATGAAACCATATATGTATATTTTGTATAAGAATTCACTTCTGGAGTCTCCTGCCAGATAACTGAATCACAAAATATCGCCATGTTGAACATATTCTATCAAATTCAGAAAACATACCATAATAATACCCCTCCAGACAGCTACCTCCCATAAAATGCTTTAAGTAAAAACTAACAAAGGAAAATTGCTAATAGTAATTTTACCAAAGAAGTAAAATTTTGCTTCCCTGAGCAGTACATGTCCCATTTACAAGAAAAAAAACTATTATATATGAGTAAGAAGAAAAGGCTCACGTGATTTTCATGAAATAAATAATATTGTGACAATATACCCTTGCAAGATGAGTACCTGAAGCTTATTTAATGTTGCAGAGAGTGAAGTAAAAATCCAAAGAACGAAGAAAACATCCAATACTGCAGCGGGAAGAACCAAAAACAGTTTTGCCTTTCCAGAAAGATCACTTACTGCACCAACATTTTCTACCAATTCAAGAACTTCAGATGCGAGAAAGAATGTTCCTCCAAGCATAACCACCTTTGATGTGAGCCCGCCAAGGGTAGGTCTCACAACACCATAGCCCATTGAGACGATTAAAATGACCAAACGTGCTACTGTCCGCTTAACAGTACCAAAGGTGACTGCCCATATAGTTGTCCCAGTTGGCCTGATTCCAGTCTCACTGAATTCAGCATAGTCAAAATACCACAGAGCCATCTCAAACATGCCCAGGGTTATCACTAGGGTAATGCAATTCTGCAGTGGAAATACTTCCTTCCAAAATCTAGCATATTGAGAGAACCAAAAGATCCCAAGCAAAATAAATGCAAACGACATGAACTGGTAGAAAATTTTCATAGGTGCCATTCTACCAGGCAGATAACCAGATGGATTTTTCCACACAGTTTTTCCTTCTACAACCAATTCTTTAAGCCTTGGATCACAATGGATGAAATACAAGTTATACATCCCAGTTTTTGTGATTTGTATAGATTTTAACGGCAGCACTGCTACTTCATCATCCACGTTAAAAGGGACACCAAAAACTTGAGGCCAATCAGGATTCTCCGTGGAAGGGCGGTGAATGACCTGTCCTTCAGCACACACACCCAATTTTGCTAGATCACCAGTGCAACAGACAGCCCTTTGACCCCCATAAGCTGAACCACCAATTGTCTCTCTATCTTCAACTTCAAAAACAACAGCTTGAATCGGCCACGAGCTAAAGTTAGAGAATTCCTTGTTTCTACGGAATGTGATCCTTTCAAACCTGGTTTTCATATTACAACAGCAAAGTCCAATCAACAAAATAACATCAAAATCAGCATCACCATAATTACAAAGAGAGTACAAAACAAAACAATGGCTACCAGTGGCATTATAAGAGACATATCATGTTTTGGGACTGACAGCTACAAGAAAACAGTTCTCATCAAATTTCTGGAAATTCTACAAGTATCCATCCAAGCAACTTTACTCTTAAAATCTGATAAGTAAGATTCTACATTTTTCCTATTGAAATAAATTGGGGACTACTGCTATAACAATTGATACTTTCTACCAAGAACCTCACACACACACATACACACACACACACACAACCCTGAAAGCTGAATACAGAAAGTCAACAAACCTCCTAAACTTATCAATTACTTTATTTTTTTTTCAAACTTCTGTAAAACAATTCCGAATCTGGCATCATTACCCAACAAAATCCAATGTACAAGGAACAAACACGTTAAAGGCAAGTGATTTAACCCAACCCCACAAAACCCAGATACGAGAGTGTGAAGGGTGAAGTGAAATGACCGTATATAAGAGTCGCCATTTGAGGCTTTGGAAGTGTCGTTGAGATTGGGAACAGATGAGTAAATTCCTTCGCTGCCTCCATGGACAACAAAGGCGTTTCCTTTGACCACGAAACTCTCACCCCTGTAATCGTGAACCGAAGCTTCAGTGCACACAGATAGCAGCAGCAACAGATACGCAAGAACTGAGACCCAAGACATTTTTTTGAAGGACACCCAAGAGAGAGAAAGTGTTAGGAGAGAGAGAGAAAGAGAGCTCCGGATCTATGGAAATGATGAGTCTTCTTTGTCTGAACTCGTAACTGTGAAGTGAGAGAGAGAGAGAGAGACAGAGAGAGAGAGAGAGAAGAAAAGTCTATGAATTTGATGAGATTGAGCTTCTTCTATTTGAGAAGAGTGTCTTTGAGTTGGAACAAACAGCCAAAATTGAATTAATTACTAAAAAAAGAAGAAGCTGAAGTGTGTTTATCTGAGGAGGGTGATTAAGGGAATTGTACGAGGTATTCTGCTTATAAGGAAAAAAAAGTATAATGTTATTTAGATAACTTTATCTGAGGTTTATCGAAACGGCGTCGTTTTGAGATTAAAAAATTAAAAAATTAGAATGATAGAGACTATTATAACTCTGAAATAAATTAAAATTACAAAAACACCATGATTTTTGCCCCAAAACGACGCTGTTTTGATAAACATTAGATAAAGTTATATAAAGTAACTTTAGAAAAAACAAACCCAATAAATAATGCTTAATTTTTTGATGAATTTTGGTGAATTTTAATAGGAAAATAATTTTATTTTTTATATATACATAAAAGTATGTGAGGATATATGAATAGAAAAGAGAAAAAAAGTTAAAAAAATAATATCTGCCTCATATATATATATATATATATATATATACTTTTATATATAAGAAATAAAATTATCTTTTGCAACATGAAAAATATTAATCTCATTTTAATAATGACTAATATACATTAGTTAGCAAGCACATTAATTGTATAAATGCAATGCAACATGTATTTGAATGTGTATGCTACAAGTCTATGAAGCACCTACACTTCAAAAATCCTGACGTATCGTGTCTGACACTCCCCGACACTCCGACACTCCAAAGACTCAAAAAAGGTTCAAAGATTACGTTGCGTTGTATTTTGAATTCTAACTATTAGATTCGTTAGATAATAATTATGATTTTATTGAGTTTAATATAAACGTTTGAGATATATTATATTTCTTTGCAAAATTGATAGGGTATTATAAGTTTATCTTTTTTTTTTTTGTTAAATTATTGAATACTAAATATAATATACACTATATAAATTAAAAATATTATATAATATCAAAACGTGTTCTAACATGTCAAAATTTAACATTTTTTAAAATTAATACGTCGATATATCATGTCCTACCCCGTGTCACCTTTCGGTGCAACATAGCTACAAGTAACAACATTATTCTTTTAAAAATTAGGCTTTGGGTTGGAAGGTCAAATGAAGGAAGCCCCATCTGCGGACACTTTTGGGTTTGGTTTTGGATTGTCTGAATCACCACACCAAATACAATGTTTATGTAATATGAGAGTAATAAATTTACTACTTTAAGTTTTATTATTAAATCAGTGTGATGTGTGACACAAATTTAATTTCTATAATATGTCATATTCTCATCGAATTAATGTAGTTTTATATTATTGACTCGATTCTCTCCCCATTTTTCTTGTTTTTTTGGTTCGTGCAGGACATTACAAAGGTTGTCGGTGTCAATATATTCATAATTATAAATAAAAAAACTAGTCGTTTTCATTTATTTTTTATTAATGATTATAGTTGCCTTTAGTTATTAATATCACTCCTAAAAATAAAGAGACATGCCATAAAGAGTAATTGCTACATTTATTTTACTATTATCATCATCTATACAAATATAACATTTAGTAGACATTTAGTAGTGTAGAAATTTTAAAGGAAGAGGTCCTATTTTGCATAGTTAGGAGCCTATTAAATTCCTAATAAAAATATAATTCATGGACTAAAATCATGGTATATTATTTGACAAATTTTTTTTTTTAAAAGAAAGGAATAGTAATATTCATTCCTGGGTCAAATATTACACAAGAAATTTCAACAATGTTCATAGCTCCAATGACCATGAAATGTAACAATGAGCAAAGGCAACACTAAGCATAGAATACAAAATAAAATAACAGAAGAACAGCCGCTATAATATTTGCGGACAGAGAGGAAGGATGAAGAGGGTGGAGAGCAAGACTAGTCCAAGTCAAGGAATTCCATTCTTTTCCTCATAGTCCCTTTCAGATCTGAAGCATCCCTTTCTGCTTTCTGTGCCTTCAAAATCACAGTTCCAGTCAAGATTAGATCATTTAACTACAGTCTACAAAAATGAGTTATTTCTTAAATAAAACCAAATTATAGGACTATAAAGGGAAAACCTAATTCCAAATCATAATAGAAAAACAAATGGACCAAAAAAAAAATCACAAAAATTAATTAAAATTCATAAGAAATAGTCCTGGTCAAGGCTAATACGACCACTAGAGATTTTATCAAGCATGGTTCACTTATACAGGTAAATGAAATTCAATATTCTATTGGGAAGACAGCTCTAACTTCTGAACAGTGTTTAATATTTTTAAGTTCTACTGCATACTTTCAAGCTGTTGACTAATAATTAACACATGCAATAGCTAAATTCCATCTTACAGTTAAGGTCGGTGTCGAAATCAAACCCAGGAAAGATAGGATATGGAAGGGCTTATCTCAATCATTCTCTAATGCCAACACCATCTATAGAAAGAAGACAACTACAACGACATCCTTACTAACTCAATGGCTAAAATTTGGCAGGCAGAGTTCATGCATAAGTATTTTTCTATAAGCCCATCCGAATGAGCTCGTAGTTTGTCCCATCAATTTCTTGTTCATAATCGTATAATTTGCCCATTTTTTTCCCAGTCAAGGTAGCTTAACTAAAATGATTAGTAATAAACAAAAGTACACAATTTGTTTCATTCAAAAGTGCTTTATATGTTCATGACATAATTTAGGTTTGCAAAGAAAAGTAGTAAACCAATGAAATTATGACAATGATGGGCACCATGACAATGAAAGGCCAGGTCACAACATATTATTATCTTTACTAAATTGAGGGAAAGAAAAAGTGACAGAAAATAGACATAAAGAACATCAATTAAATAAAAAAGGGTCAATTTAGGAATATTTACCCTCTTGATTTCCGTTGTAGAAACACGTGTCATATGTGGGGGAAGTTCCTCCCTCTCCAAGTCCTAAAAGTTGAAAGACATTTGATAGTAAAACTGAGATTGAAAAGTAGAAAATATTTTCAGATGCGAAGAGAAATAATTAGCAATCATACCAGCTCACCAATTAGAACTACATTCTCCCCACGGATTACATAGAGACCCAAAGGTATGTCACAATACAGTTCACCAACAATAACCCTTTCACAGGCACCCTCAAGAACAGCATTAGCTGCATATTATTGATAGGAATTTTAGCAAGTCAACCTATATCATGTCAAAGCATTACATAATTTGAGGAGAAGATGAGAAGTTGGTACCAAATTGATCAAAAGAGCGAAGTGTGCCCATGAGCTTTCTACCATCTCTCAGCAACACAAGAAGTTTCTCTGCAACAACAAATAGTTTCAGGCCATAAAAATTGATAAGAAATACAAAATCAGTTTAACCTTCATTGAAAACCCAGACTTATTCACCACTTCCAAGTTCCAACTGGTTTTGTCACTTTGAACAATATATAGACAAAACCCCTTTCAGAAAGACTTGTATACTAGATATGCCAGAAGCAATGTAAAATCAAGACTATTCATTCACACAAATTACAATTCCAAAGCAATACCATTTGCATCTTTATCTCACCATGACAAACGATAATTAATGAATAATACATTCTTAACCATTCACCTTTGCAGGAGCGAGACTAAAGCTTTCTGGCATTAAGAGGTATAACAACTATAGAGCAAAAACGTCAGAGGTCCAGTTTAATTGGCAGTATTAGTGGATATTATGGTAAAATTGAGGAAGAACAATACTATGCAGAATGGGATAATGAATATCCCCAAATCAAAGGAAATAAAAGGAGGTCAAAACACTGGAATTTTCACTTCTCTTTACCCTACATGTTATAAATGTCATCTCCTAGGATTATATCATACCAAGCATGTCTATTAGTATAGTTCTTAATTTATTTACACTGGAGGCTCTTGGATATCAAGCTAATCATATTCCCTATCTTATTACCATTTATATTTTACTTTTCACACATTCAGCAGGTGAGGATTATCATTATCACATGTTGGAAGCATGGAAATTTTTGCTTTTACATGCATAGCTCATAACAAACATGCATAATAGTCATCTACTATAATTTGAAAGAGTACCCCTTCCCTTCCCCCACAAAATGGTCATGACTAAAACAATAGTCAAGCACAATTAACACATAACAGCCCAACATAAGATTCTTAATGAAAATTGAATCAGCAGCTTCCACAGAAACATGGAACAAGTTGAACATAAGAAAAGTAATACAAATCTCTCCTTCCTTAGCTTCTTACTCGTTTCCAACCAAGTTCACAACTTTTTGTCAGTAAAATTTACACATTACACAAATAAAATGCCTTGCACTACTATCTAAAGAGTCCAATATTTCTCCAACTAAAAATTTCAAGTGCATATGAATATGAGAGAGAGATAGAGAGAGACAGAGAGAGAGAGGCCTCACTGTCAAGATAACTGGCAAGTGAAGTAGAAAGGTAGATATCCTCAGGACCTGCCCAAGACATTATGCTTTTTCGGTATCTCAAAAACCACCGAAAAATTTCCCACTAACCACACCAATGGCATTGCCAGCACTAATTCAACTCTCTTACTTCACCCCAATCACTTCAACATTAATTCCCAATTCTCCAACACAGTTTTTTTTTTTACTTGAAAAAAAAAAACCTAACTTTTTGCAAATTAACGGAACGAATAGACCTTAAGTTTCAGATCGAAATCACAGAAGGTGAATAAAAGGGAAGTCTCTAGAAGATGAATGGAATTATGAAAGTAGGTGGTTTGAAAAAAAAAAAAAAAAACCCAGAGATCCAATCGCAGCGAATGAGCGGAAAGAGAGAGTTTTTGAAAGGAAAAGTGAGAGAAAATGTGGGAAAGTTAGAAAAACAGAAAAGGGGTGGTTTAATTTTTCTAGGGTTTGGAGATTGAGATTTGAGATAGTGAAGCAGGTGCTGCTTCAGCCATTGGTTTTGGTTGGGGTGTTGAATTGTACCATCAGTGCTATCAATTCATTATTATTGCATATGTGTTTAACCATCTTATAATCTTATTAATATTTGGATTTAAGGTTTATCCGATTTATTATTATTTTTCTTTTGAATTCGACAATTAATTTTTTCTAGATGTAAAAATTATTGAAGTGAATTTTGTCTTTATCAATAACTTTTTTTCATACTCATGGTCAAAACTGTTAACATTGTTTTGGAATTGAGATAAAAAAAATTATAATAAAAAAATTAATATAATCTCAACATGATTTCAGAATCATAGGAGATATAAACAGTAAAAGAATCAGTGTTAATTGAAAAAAATGTAAAAGACTAATTACAATGATGGTTGGCGGGTACGATCCATCAATAACCACAACAAGATTAGATCTGATTTATTTTTTTTACCCTCCTATATTTGATTTATTAATAAATTATTTGTATGATAATAAAATTTTGTCAAAGTTTGAGCGATCGTATGCTTGACTTTGAAATGGGAAAATTGTTAATCTACTGTGCTATGAAATCTTAGATGTTACTTGCCAAAGTCTAATTGAAAAACAGACATTATTTTCTTCTTAAACCTTTTACGAAAAAATAATTAAGATGAATAACTTATGAAAATGTTTTATGATCAAATTTTATTGATAAATTCTTGCTGAATTTTTTAGCGATTTTTTTTTTTGTTAGTTGCATAGAGTTATTCATAATTTGTTGCTGATAAGTGATAAGTTTAAAGCTTGATTGATGCCGACTTTAGATTTTACAAATACAATGTAAATGTTGGGAGTTTGATATGTATGATTTTACATGTGATTCTCAAAATGTAATGGAATATTAAAAATAAAAAAAATTCTTAGGAAAGTTCATTTATTGGTCACAAAAGTTTTAATATCATGCTAATAAATTTGAGTTTTATAAGAGTTATGTTATAGGAAAAGTGATTATGTAATGTTATAGAAATTTGTTTTGCATGCCATAATTTCTTTTTTTTTCTTTTTTCTTCAAAAAGTGTGGGTCCCATAAAATATTGTGTATGTAGAAAAATTTGTTGTATTATGTTAAATGACAAATGCAATTCTTGAATTGTATTGTCTTTATGCAGTAGAAGATGAAAACTTTTTCCTGCAGATATCATATATAATGTGCTGTCATCTCTTTTATTTTTTTTCTTGTATTTCTTGGTGGGTCCCATTTTTGATTGAGTGTGTAGGGAAAAAAAAAAAATTTCCTATTGCAGAAGAGTCATATTCCTCATTTATAAAACTAGTTAATCTTAAAAAAAAAAAAAAAAAAACTATGCTTTTTGGTAAAGTTTTTAAAGTAGTTTTTATTTCTAACAAGCGTAATTGAATAAATACACTTCATTGTTTTCAAGTGTGTTCCATTGATACACACTTCTCCAAGCTCTCGTATGTTCGCATAATTATATCTCCAATACCTTAAAATCTAAGGCAAACAACTTGTTTTCAGGCTCAGGTCCCAAGATCACTCTCTTTATATGCAAAATAATTTTTTTACAAATTCAGAAAATTTTAACAAAGAAATAATAAAATGATTGTATAAAAAGTATATGCTGCCAAAATAGGAATTTCGGTCCAACTCATCTCTATAAACATAATTAAATTGTATCAGTCAATAGATTTGCTTGAATGTTGTAGATGCTACTCATAGAAATTGGGTCAACCTAGAAGTTGGTCATACTTAGCAATCTTTTTTTCTGAAAGTTTAAAATTTGCAAGCATGTTCAGAGACTCAGCAATTGAACAAGATCAAATATATGTATAATAGTAAGTATTATTGATTTCCAACATGTTACAAGGAGATGAAAGCACTTAACAAAGTGGAGTAAAAATAGGATGAGAAAGTGTAGAATGTCTAGCTTTGCCAGTAGATATCAGAAATCCAATGTATGAATTTCTATAACATGAGTTGCTCCGCATTCACAGACACAACCATGAAAAAAAAATAACGGGAAGCCCCGTTAGCAAAACAGAGATGTTGCTATGCACCACTCATTTCTTGGTATAAGATCACAGATAAACTTCTTCTAAAAAAAAAAAAAAATGTGAGCTCCACTTCATACCCCCCATCATCATGTACTTAAGACCTTTGACTTCTTTCTTGAATCTGAGGTGAAAAAGAAATTGTCAGTTTGCAAATTTAGTTAGTGTCATGAATTTGATATACAACTCTTGGTATAAAAATTGATGATTGGAATGAAAATAATAATAATAATAATAAGAGTGTCTTCTGTATTCACAATCTTGACTAGCTTACCTGAACATGTACTAATAGAACTAGTAAAAATTGAGGAAGGTTTATATCTCTAGAACAATATCTGCAAGAAGAAAAAGGATACCATTAGTTTGTTCCTCTTATGTCTGGGATTTTGGATTGGTATATAAATTGCATGATGAACTTACATTCAGAATCAGTCTTGACCCATTTACAGCCATCATCAGTTCTCTCCTCTGGTTCATCCTCATTCCTTTTCCTTGTTATCTTCTTGTCCTCTAGGCACTTCTTCATCAATGATGCCCGAGAAGGGTTTTGGGAGTAAATTTTCTTGTGAATAATTGTCCTTAAAAGCTGTACATTTTATCACAATGAGAACAATAGAAATAAAAATTGGAATAGCATATAGTCAGCCATATACATAATAAGATGGCAAATGAAAGGATATCAGTAAGGGGGGTGTGTCTCAAAACAAAAGGGTACCTTCTCCATTCTTGACTCTTGAAGGGTATCTCTAAGGGTAGGTGCAGGTGCAAATCCACTTCTACAGACAAAAATCTTCTTCAATAGGAAAGAAATAGATTTCTTCCCAATTGCTTTCTTGCTGTTATCTGCACAAATGTCTTTGCACTTACTAAGTATGACACTAAGTGTCTTCTCAATATCTTCTTCTTTGGCATCTGATTCACTGCAAAGCGCATTGCTGATTCTCCTATCAACTTCCAAGCTTGAAGGGCAATTAAGAAATCTGTCCAATGGAAGCTCAGAAATTTCCTTTTCCACATTTGTTTTTCGTCTCAGGAGTTTAGTTAGCTCCTTTTGTAGTTTCCCAATTTCTTCAGGAGTGAAGTCTGCTATTTCCTCTGATGAGGATGGATCCTCTTGTGCATTTTGGTTATCCAAGTTTTCTTGAATTTCTTTGTTATTTCCAAATGTTCCAATTGCTAGTAAACCATGAGGCCAATCGCTGAATTCTTCTCGAGGCTCTTGTTTTCCATGATCTGTGCACATAACCAAAAGAAAACATTCTAAGGTTCCCAATGAAAAGACTATTGTTGTTCAACTGAAAAAGTTTACAAATACCCTTTGATAAGTTGACCTCGGATCAAGTTACTTATCAGATTCACTTTAATTTGTGTTTTTGGTGCACAGGTCAATTAGAAATTACAACTACCAGGATGCCAACATGTTAGCAGAGAGTTGGATTTGTTTATCAATCAAAATTTTGAGTTCTTAAATAACTAATAACTAATAAATCAAATCTTACAACATTAAATAACTAATAAATTATTCTCCAATCTTAAAGTATAAATCATTCTTAAATATACGCATACCAATTTATTTAACCTTTTTAAGTTCTTAACACCACTATATCAGAGATACCTTTAATATAAGTAAGTTTATTTCTTACTAGTCTTTTGTTTAATTGGAAACTATGGGGGGGGAAAAAACGATATTGAAGAAAGAGAGATTTATAAGTAAAATATATTATACATGTGAACATATGTCTCCTCCCTGTCTTTTCTTTTATGTTTCGGTTTCTGTCATCCTTCCTTCAGAGAGAAGTGTATGTTTTTTATGTGTAACAGCCAATAAGAATTCTCAAGTCTTATTGTTGCTTGAAAAATCATGCATTAACTGAGGGAAAATCTACATAAAAAAGAATGAAGACTTACATGTAGTGGTTGTATATGTGTTTGGTTTTCTGTTCTCTTGTTTTCCACCAAATTTATTTTGCATCCAGCTGAGGAACTGCAAGTGAAGAAAACATCTTGGTCACATTACAACAACACTTTTATAACACAAACTAAATTAACATAACCATATCTCTCTCTCTCTCTCTCTTTCTTTCACACACAAACATACACACAGATAGTACAGTAGGAAAACTTACCTTCATTGTGTGAGAACTAAGGCTAGTGATAGGGGGGATGAATGAGCTTTTTGTGGAATCTGAAAGTTCTAGCTAGCTAGCAATAAATATATAACATGAGGAGAAAAGGTGGTAATGATGGTTGGATGATACTTGATAGTGACAGTGAGAGAGAGAGAGAGAGATATAGAGAGAGCCAGGTGTCACTTTTGAATTAGTAACTAGTACTAAAGTTCCTTGAGAGCAGATCTTAAAAGCCAATGATAGTTGAGCTTTGGAATTAGAAAACTAAGATGGAATTTGATGAATTTCATGGCCAAATTGAGCTACCCTGATTGGCCTAATTCACTTGCTATTTAATCTTTTCATCCTTCCTAATACGTGTCTCTGTATCTGACCAAGTATTTCCCCTTAATTGCTTCATTCCATTGTTAAACTATTATTACCTTTAATTTTTTATACCTGTATCCCCATGTATATATACAAACACACGTATCTTGAGTTGCGATATATAAAATCATTAATGTAGCTTCACCCAACAGCTTAAACTTTTAGGTTGAATTGGTTCTTAACATGATATCAAACAGGTAGATGGGTCTGTGCATTGTCCACCCTTTAAGTCTAATGGGCTATTGTGTGAGGGAACGTGTTGTGAAATTTCTTTCTTCTCACAGGTAGGTGGGCTTGTGCATTGTCCACACTTCAAGCCCAGCCCAATGGCTCTCGTATGAGGAGGCGTGTTGAGATATATAAAACTATTAATGTAGTCTCACCCAACAGCTTAAGCTTTTGGGTTGAATTGATTCTTAACAAGATATAGCATAAAAGATGTTATCATTTATGTATTCTTGTTACTTTGTAATTCGTTTGAATTCTCTTCCTTTACCAACAACACATGGGCGAGAATATTTTTGCCGGGTATTACTCTAAGTGGGAGTCTTGTGTCACTGTTTTAACCATCAGATCACATAAATGTTGATCTTCATAAGATTGCAATGATAAAAGTGGAACTAATCTCTATATACAATCTTAGTAGTGACAGTCATGGAGGACAGTCCATTAAGAGAACATGTAAATGTTTAAGGATATTATAATTTGACGGTAAGGGTTGCATATCACAAATGTAGTAGCAACCACTAATTAATACGATAAAATATGTGCCTAAGCCAGATCTAAAATTTTCCCTTAATAGATATTTTGCTAATTAACGTGATGTGATAAGGGCACGTGTCTTTAAACATGGAAGGGCATGTATATAGAAGGAATCCTTTTTTATTTAACAATTGACTACTAATACAGTTTATTATTAGTTGGCATAAAAACAAAAGGAAAAGGACTATTGTAGTCCTGTGAATGAAATTATAAAGTGTAGAAACCTGTGGAAGACATGGACAAATGATTTAACCTAGTGCAAACGAGGTATGGGCAGCCGAGAAAAACAACTCAGAAAGTGAGGAAGAGCACCCACGCTTGCATGGGAATGTCTCACACTTACCGGACCAATTCCTTGATTTCACCTGCTCCAAATAACTTATGCTATAACCCTAGTAAACTAGCTAGTGCTTTTTTTTTTTTTTAATAAATCCAAGGGTATCTTCATCTCACATAGAACGAGACTAATCTCCTTTCACAGATTGAAAGGACAAGGATTTCTCCGTTACATACAAAGTGTGTCTACCAAGAGTCGAACTCAAGCCCTTTAAACTCACAGCCCAAAACCCTTGGACTCAGCACCAAACCGACTCAGCGACACCTTGCAGGTACTAGCTAGTGCTTTTAGGTGTAGTACATAGTGTGCATAACTAGAATTACAAGGTTGGGATTAATGTACAAGTTCGATGATTCCAGACAGATGACCTGTGACAAATGTAAAAAGTGCTTTTAATATTCCTTCACACATTCTCATTTTAATGCAACTTGTACATACTAGCTACCACACCATTTTCCTTTTTGATTTGATATATCCCTGCAATTTTCATTAGCAAATTGTGTTTCTCATATTGCATTAGGTAATTTATCTCACACACTCACACAACATATAAAAAAGTAAGTGAGACTTATTAAAGAAAAAAGAGAAAAAAAAAAAGTGAATCTACTCATTTTTTATATATTGTATAAGAGAAAATCATTTCATCCAACATGAAAAATATATTTCCTTTAATTTATTTCAACTTTAACTACCTGAGTGATTACTAACCTTAATATTTCAGGTAAGTATTTTTTAGAGAAAAATTCACCAATGCCTCTGTGATTTACTCCAAAATAACAAATCCCTCTGTGATTTTTTTATTACATATATCTCTATGGGTTCTAAAAAGTAAAAAATCACAGGGGCATATATGATAAAAAAAATATATATCTTTTTACAAACCACAGAGACATATGTAAAAAAAAAATCATATGAACAGAGGTAATTTTTGAATAAACCACATGGGCATTGATGAACTTTTTCTTATTTTTTATTAAATTGAAAATAATTATTTTCAGCAAAAATAATAATAATCCTATTTTATGTTTTATGTTTTATGTTTTATTTTTTTTATTTTAGGTTGGAAATTTGGAAGGACATGCATACCATGAGTCCATCATGGCGTGGAGGCAGATGGTAACGACAACGTTATTCCCATTATCTTCTGTCGGACCAACGCGTGTAGTAAAGGGGTTATTATAATGGGATATATTTTTCTTATGTTGTAGGAAAAGAATTACCTCATGTTGTAGAAATAAAAGTATAAGTGGGACCCACATGTAAGAGGAGAGAGAAAAGTGGTGGGACCCAACCTTTTTTGTGTGTGTAGGAGAGATGTTTATCTCATGTAAAATGAGATAAACATAACCCTATTATAATTTCATGTATCTCGTTCTCTAGTTCCAACAACTACTTTTCCCTAATTCTAGCAGATTTAGCCATTACTACTGAAATTAGTTTTGTTTTTAATGTTATTTTTTATAAATATTTTGTAAAAATATCATCTTAATTTTTGAAATAGAAAATATTATTTTTGCAAATAACTTACGCAAAAAGTGATAAAATAATTAAGAATATTATTCACATCTGATGATTATAAGTAGATTTAGTTTAAAAAAAATTACTAATTTAAGAGCATTGAAACCATGAATCTTGATTTGTTGATGAAAAAAAAGCATATTATTGAGAATGTATGTCTCTATAGTATTATTCTACTTTCCACTGTTATATAATGTCACCTACACCTTATCGAATTCATAATTAATAAACAATGAATGAAGTACAAATGCTAAGTGTTTCAATTATCTAAACCGTCTGATTGGTGAACAGAAGTCTTATGCAAAAATGTGCCACATATATATATTCCTAACCTCAAACTACGTAATAAAGCACGTGTACACTGCTCAGCCTCATATTCAATGATTCATTGCAGTTTGATTTTAGGTTTGGCCAAAAATTATCAGTTCACTCAAAGGAATATCATTAAAGTTGTGTGCTAAAATAATTTAAATTTTATCATGCAACATATTTGTTAAATTAGCGCATTATTATTTGGATCAATTTTTTTTATCCAAAAATTGCTTTTTTTCATAAAGAAAAGCACTTTTACTACAAAGTTTATTTAAATGTCTTTTTAAAAAAAAAAACAGAAGCTACAAAAAAGCAAAAAATTTGTTTTTTTTTAATTTAAAAATTTTAGCTTTTAAAAAAATAGAAGTTATAAGTCAAAAAATTTCACAAATCCATCCAAACGGCCCTCAAGTTCAAGGGAAAGAAGGAAGAAAGTTGTAGATGTATATAAACATGCCTATGTATAGATAAACTGACAATTCCTTCTTCTTTTTTATATTTAATTGTGTTTTATCAAACATTTTATTGTATATAAATATTTATATAAACCACTCTTCAAAATAAGAAATAATTAATGTGTAGAGTCATTGAATCATTGTTACTAAAAACAGAATTGTTTAGGGTCGTTTGGTTGAGCTTCCTTTTCTCCTAAAGTTGCTTTTTTATAAAAAAAATATATATATATCACTTTTTAGTATAAGTTCATTTGAATTTCTGCTTTAAAAAAAAAGCAAAAGTCATAAAAAGGTCAAAAACTTTTTTTTTTTTTTTTTGCAAGCTAAAATTTTAACTTCTAAAAAATACAAAAGTAAAAAGATAAATATTTTTTTAAAAAAAAAATCTAAATAGTTTTAGCTTTTGTAAAAAACACTTCTAAAATAAGTAAGACATAAAAGCTATTTTTTTTTAAAAAAGCCAAACAAATCCGGAACTAAACAATGAGCTAGGCGATCATTGTTAAATTGGGTTGAACCAATTTTTAGGATAAAATCAATATATATTATTAATAAGTCATAATTATATATAATTTGGACCTATCCTACGCGGGACACTAGGCCCAATTCATGAAGCTCCAAAGAGCCCAACACCTAAGACTTCAAGGTTAAGGAAGCGTGGTCATCTTGCATACACTGGTAATGTAATATTTTAAAAATATATATAATAATAAATAAAATATAAAATATCTTGGATATTTATAAAAATAATGATTAAGATTCCTTAGATATTTATAAAAGTAATGATTAAGATTCCTTAGATATTTATAAACGTAATGATTAAGATTTCTTAGATATTTATAAAGGTAATGATTAGATTCTTTATATTTTTATAAAAAGTAATGATTACATTCCTTTTTCAAAATCTATATAAACTCCCCCTTTAGAAACTTAAGAAGAAGGGGTGAGAGGGAGAGAGAGAGAAGGAAAGGGAGAGGAAGAGAAAAAGAAAGAAAGAAGAAAAAGAAAAAGGAAGGTAATATTTGGAGTAAGCAACTCATTCTCTCCTTTACTTTTAAAGTTAATTTTTAGATATTTTAGAAAGCTATGTTGGTTCTATTGTTATCTATGTTATGTTTAAAATTGATATTTTAAAGTTATTTCTTTAAAAGTTGTGAATATACTGTTACTCTGCCAAAATTATTTTATGAATTTTTTCTACTCTTTTACTTTATTTTCTATATTTGGCTTTGTGAATTTGATGAATTTACTTATATTAGATATGAAAA